GCTGTTCCCTTTCCTCCTCCTGTGGCTTTCCCGGGTCCTAAATTCAGTAAATTCATACCATTCCACCACTAAATTGATGACAGTGGCATTTTCTAGCTTGCTGACTGTCCTCAGGTCACACAGAAGCGGTTGTATAAAAAGAGGGTGGTAGATCTTAGCTGTCTCTTATGTTCTCATCAATCAGAATCTCCATCCGCTGCCTTAGAAGGCTAATTCACATCCTTGTTTACCAGAAAAAATCCTCATATAGTAGCATACCTACCACTGCACTATAGTGGATTGAATGCTACAAAGCTAGGACACAGTAGTTCTCTTTCTTATTGTAGACACTGCTCAGATGTTGTTTTTAAAACATGGTAAAAAAGAGGGAAAAAACCACACACATCTGATACCATGTTATATAAACTTTTCTTTTTACAAACTTGAATACAGTGGGTCCTTGAAATCCACTAAGGTTTGGTTCCAAGATCTGCTAGGGATATCAAAATCTCTGGATGCTCAAGTCAAGGTTTGCTTTGTGTGCGTGTTTTTTTCCCCCAGTCAAGCCATTGATGTAGTTATCTATAGCTGAAAGCTAGTGTTTGAGCCAGTTCTGTAAGTTTGTGTGTGATTCCATCTACACAGTCTGACTCTGGGGGTCCATTTCTAAACAGAAGAGCCGGTGTTGTTCGCAGACACCTCCAAGGTCCTGTGGCTGGCATGTCTGAATGGAGCACCGTTACCTTTCCATCTAAGTGGTACTTATTGATCTACTCATATTTGCTTGTTTTCGAACTGCTAGAAGCTGGGCAGAAGCTGGGGCTGACAGGGGGAGCTCACACCACTCCCCAGATTCGAACCTGCGACCTTTTGGTTAGCAAATTCAGCAGCTCAGTGGTTTGGGGTGATCTTCAAATTGAATTGTTATAGTAGTTTACTTTGTTTGACCAGAACTATTAAACAGAAACACCCTCCATTTTTGTTTGTACTCCTTTGCTATGACTAGGACACTTTTAATTCCATCAAAATTATGTCTAACTTATTTGTATTCCACTGCTGCTATGGTACATGAGAATGAACAACCATGATAGCCAATTTTATGTATTTTAATCATTCTCTCAGGGTTTATATCTTAATTGTTAATTATGTTATTCGTATAATTATGTTTATTTGATTATTTGTATTCTGTTTTTCATCTTGAAGTTAATTTCTCGTTTGTTATAAGTTTATGGTTATTTTTTATTATTATTTTGCATTATCTTTGAGATGTTTGTTATGCATACGGCCTTTTCTGTGCGTAAACCACCCTGAGTCCCATGGGGGATAGAGGATGATATATAAATAAAGTTTTATCATTTATTATATTATTGTTACTTTTTAATATATATATTTGGAGACACTGGGAAAGGTATGACTGGATAATAAAGAAAAGTACATCTGGATCCTCCACACACACTTCTGCATTTTGTTTCTGGGCAGATTATGCTACTTATGGTCTACCAAATTGTTGTCTATGTGTTTTGAAATAGAGAGAATATGAATTCTGGTGGCTGGGATGAAGAGAGCTCTACCATTCCACAATCCAAAAAGGAGAGCGTTTGGTAAAGAATCATATCAATTCTTTTCTGTCAAAAACATAGCTCAAGGTTTCAAATTTTGTTTCTTTCCTTAATCTGCGTATACATAGAATGAAAATCCAAAGATTCCCACTCTATACATTGAGATGTGTGTCTCCCCAGATTGTACTTGTGTGTGTTTGAGAATAGGCAGGGGTAGACACAGGTGGCCCATAGATGAATGACAGTCAGCACATGAAAATAAGTCATTGGAAGAAAAAAAGATTGTTCATTGATGTATTGGGATATATTGAGCCACTTTAAGCAGACATTATTGCTTAAACACTAGGATATACATTTTAATAAATACCACTTTGGAAGGAATTTGTTTAAAGGTAAACCTGTTTCGATCTCATCGACCACTGTAATAATTTTGACTTTAAAATCAGATTTATTTTATCTGCTAATAGAAAATAGAAAACCCATCTACAGAAGTGAGAGGTAAGCTTATAAAATAATAAAAACAATACCACAGGTTCCCACTGCAAGAAAGAAAAGCATCATAGTATGGTTTTTTATTAAAAGTGTAATATGGGAACTTGCTTTTGATGTTGATGCAGGATCTCCTTATCAGGGCATATTTACCTTGACCTTTTGCCTCAAATTCAGACAAATTCCTTGCTCACCAAACCCAGAAGAGAAGCGAGCAACCAAAATGAAGTGAAAAGTCATGTTCAATTTTAAGGTGTTATCTATGTTACAATGCACCACTATCTTTGTTTAAAACCTCTCAGGTAGTTCAGATAGCATGCAGATTTTGCTCTTAAAAATGCTCATGTTGGCAATCTTAAGCAGCCACTGGAACCTATATGCATAACTACCAGTGCTGTTTGAATGTGATAACCAAGGCCATATTGATGGCATTGCATTTTAAATGTGCCAATTTTTAGAGATATTTGCATCAGCTCATACACAGTTTATTTTCTGGACATCAGTTATCATACAGCTTCAGCAGACATCTGTGAGGTTCAGTAGGCATAGTACTTTTTCTTCCAATCTTGGCCAACTGTCATGAAAGGATTACATATGGAATTAAGGAGTAGTTAAACACTTCAAAAACTATCATGATTCAACACCCATTAAAAGCCAATCATTTGGCAGGTAAAAATAGTTATCATGTAGGTGAAAAGTACTTACTTACTTAGGTGATTTCTTGCTGTCCGAGTATGATGACCTTCCAAGTGTAGTGTCTTGTCAGTGGATACGTAGGTGAATGTAGAGTCCTAGTCTTGACCCACATGTTATTCCACAATTTCTCCCTTTCACCCTCCATTCATGCCTCTTCGAGTTGCACAGCACTGGTTGTCACAGCTGACCTCCAGTTAGAGCTCAAGGGCCAGGGCTTCCCAGTTCTCGGTGTTTATGCCACAGTTTTTAAGGTTAGCGTTAAGCCGGTCTTAAAATCTCTTTTCTTATCCACCAACATTATGTTTCCCATTCTTGAGTTGGGACATTTCGATATCGTGGCTAGTTCAACGTGGTTGATGGCCTAGGAGAATGACTTCAATGTTGATGGTTTTTGCTTCTTCCAGCATGCTGAAATTTGTCCACCTGTCTTCCCAAGAGATTTGCAGGATTTTTCAGAGGCAACACTGATGGAATCATTCCAGGAGTTGCATGTGACGTCTGAAGATAGTCTACGTTTTGCAGGCATATAGCAGGGTTGGGAGGACAATAGCTTTATAACCAAGCACCTTGGTATTCCTACAAATGTCCCGATCCTCAAACACTCTCTGCTTCATTTGGAAAAATGCTGCACTCGCAGAGCACAGACGGTGTTGCATTTCAGTGTCAATGTTGACTTTTGTGGAGAGATGGCTGCCAAGGTAGTGGAAATGGTCAACAGTTTCTAACATTAAATATGCTTCTGCAAAGATGTTTAGAGTTGCTTGTAGGTCTTCTTCTGAATGTACACAGACTATGTTATCATTAGCATATTAGAGTTCTATAGCAGATGTTGTGACCTTGGTTTTGGCTTTCAATTTGCTAAGGTTGAATAGCTTGCCATCTGTCCAGTAGATGATTTTCACACCAGTAGGAAGTTTCCCATCAACAAAATGAAATATCATAGTGATGGAAAATAAGGTTGGAACAATACCACATCCGTGTTTGACATCTGATTCCACCTTAAATGGGTCACTTTGGGAGCCATTGCTGTCCAAGACTGTTGTCATCATGTCATCATGGAGAAGCCACAGGATGTTCACAAATTTGTCAGGGCACCCAATTTTTTGGAGGATGGTCTAGAGAGCACTGTGATTCACTGTGTCGAATGCCTTTGCAAGGTCAATGAATGCCATGTACAGAGATTAATTTTGTACCCTGCATTTTTCTTGGACTTGTCGTGCAGTGAAGATCATGTCCATTGTTCCTCTGGAGGGGTGAGAGTTGTTCTGGAATTCTGGGAGGGTGTCTTCTGAGACAGGTAGAAGGCAGTTTGCAAGGATTCTTGTGAGGATTTTCTCAGCGGAGGTTAGACAGGAGATACCTCGATAGTTTCTGTTATCCCCCCCCCCTCTTTTAAAGGGTGATATAGTGGCATCCTTGAAGTCTGTTGGGATTTTCTTGGTCACCCACAGTTTTTCAATCAGTTGGTGGAGTTGTTGTGTTAGCTCAGGTCCACCCTCTTTAGAAATTTCAGCAGGGGGATCCCATCAGATCTGTTGGCTTTGTTATTTTTGTTGGCTGATGGAGTTGCTGATTTCCTCCAAATTAGGCAATGCTGCAAGCTCATCCCTGGTTTGTTGTTGCGGGTTTTTGTGAGAGAACCAATTGATTTTTGCCCTTCAGAAGTTTGGTTCCATCTGATGAGCGCAGAGGGTGTATGTCATGATTTCTTGGTCTGCAGATGTCCCTTATGGCTTTAAAAAAACCCTGAGCATCATAACCATCATAAAATGGATTAACCTGTAGTCAGACCAGCAGTCATCGGATCCTGTCATGGCTCTTGTTGCAGTGTTCTCTGGCACGTGTAATTACAGTCTAAGAGGTGCCAATGCTTTGACCAGGGGGTGCTTCCATTATGTCTTTAATTTGTTTTTCTGGTAGAAGGTTGTGTTCCATACATTTGGTGAGAATCAAGATGCCATTCGAGTTGTTGTTTCCAACCCTATATTTTCCTATGGTCTCTGGCCATGGGTTCAAGTCTTATCCAACTTGCCTTAAAATCCCAGAGGAGGATGGTTTTGTCCTCCTTAGGTATCCCCAATAGGATGGTGTCCAGCTGACAGGACTTCATCAGCATCTAGTGTTGGTACATAGGTACTTATGATGGTTGTCTGTTGGCAAGGTTAATTCAGAGGGTTGAGAGTTGTCCATTAATGTCAATGGGTGCTTTCGACAGGTGCTTCACCAGGTCATTTCTGATAGCAAATCCAACTCTGTGTATTCTTTGTTCTTTTTCAGGCAGTCCTTTCCAGAAGAAGGTGTAGCCTCCTTTTTCATCCTTCAGCAAGGTGATAATGATGGATCATAGGTATTACAATCCACATATTTTCCTTCCTCCCTATGGATTGTTGGAAACTGTTACCACTATTTTCCTGTAGTGGAAATGATAAGAATACATTTTAGGAATCTGACTCAATATTCCTCCATTTAGTCATAGCATTTTATGGTTCTCTGGAAAGGAATTTGGGGAAACACATGCTTATTATGACTATTTTAAATGCTGCTTTGGTGTCTATGTGAACTGAAGTTATAACTGACTGAAAACTGACTTAGGCCTGATAGGTGATAGGATTGGTTAGCTTGTAAAAGTTTTTTTAATGTCAGGAGAAACTGCAAGTCACTTCTGGTGTGAGAGAATTGGCCATCTGCAAGGACATTACCCAGGGGATGCTCAGATATTTTGATGTTTTATCATCCCTGTGGGAGGGTTCTCTCATGTCCCCACATGGGGAGCTGACAGAGAGAGGTCATCCATGCTCTCCTCAGATTTGAACCTCCGACCTGTTGGTCTTCAGTCCTGCCGGCACAGGGGTTTAACCCATTGCACCACTGGGGGCTCCTGACTTGTAAAAGTAAGCAAATCGGAAGAATTTCATGTACACAATCCAAAGGCTTCTGCAAACCTCCATCTTTTGTATTTCCTACTTCTAGAATTAGATTCACATGAGAGTTCTGTTCATTGGTCTCATTGCCTCCTCTTCTCTCACCTTATCTTTTATTGACGATATATAATTTCAAAGGCTTTATTGCTTCAGATTACAGGTCTTTCTTTTCTTTTTCTTCTCCTTTTCTTTTCTTTCTTTCTTTCCTTCTTCTTTGTTTCTTATATGGAGGAGCATTAAGTCATGAGATGTCCCACTTGTAAATCTGACATTTGAGTATAGCTGAGAGATAAGTTTACTGCCCTATTTGCTGTTTGTGATAACTAGACCTAAAACCCATGACCTGGCAATAAACCTTCAGGGACAGATTCCTTATCATATCACCACCTGACTTCAGAGGAAGAACCAAACCCATTATTGTTCCTTCTGTCTTAATTATTTTCCAGAGTTACATTACTTACCAACATTGCACAGGCCAGTTACCTGGAATCTATGGCTTCTTTCCCAAAATAGAAATGTCCTGGGGATAGATGTGTTACTGTGTTGCAGAAAAGACAACCAGGTATATTATGGTACTATTAAGACTATCAGGAGTTGATACTTAAGATGATGCAAGGTGGTTTCTTATTTTTCCAAAAGGATTTTAAAAATATGCCTGGAATCTAGCACTACCAAGAATATTCACCCCTATTCATTTCTGGGGCAGAAATAGATTTCCAAACACTTGGCAGATTTGGTATGGAAGAAAAACACAGACAAAAATGTTCTATCTCAGTAGTCATATATCCTATAATGATTGAGGAAAATATTCTGCATAGAAACACCTGTGAGAGTTTTGCATGAAAATGGCATGGAAACTGTTCTGGAAACGTACATGGTTTTTTGTGCAAAATCATTTTTGCACAAAAATATTAATTTTTCATTAAAATCAATGTGTCTTTTGAAATCATGTTTTTCCGCATAAAATACATGTTTGAGTAATAAATGCATTTTTAGAAAAGCATGTAGATTTTTGTGTGTGTGTAAAATTGGTATTTTTGTTATCTTTGCGAAACCAGTTTGAAAATATCCTATTGTAAAATGGAGCTCCCATCTAAATCCACACTTACGTCTACACTTTAATTTTATACCTTTCAGCCACAGCCTAACTTTAATAACTAGTACCAACTAGAGCAGCCTATTGAATGTACGTGAATTTTGACTTACCATTCGGCAGTTGATTCACTAGGTTTACTCTTGCTGAAACAATCAACTGTCTTTTAATAATAAGTCTCCATTTTCTTGACTTCAGTAATGCTTTTAGTATCTGTGCTCACAAATCATTCACTGAGCACTGAGCTTATAATGTCCACATTTCATGGTGAACATATTCTAGAACAGTGGTTCTCAACTTGTGGATCCCCAGATGTTTTGGCCTTCAACTCCCAGAAATCCTAACAGCTGGTAAACTGGCTAGGATTTTAGGAGTTGTAGGCCAAATTTCCTGGGAACCCATAGGTTGAGAACCACAGGTCTAGAATCTATGATGCTGTACTATAGATATGTATGATGCATGCCTTTACACACAGAGAAACCTATACTGCTTTTAATTTGCTGGCTTTGCTCCAAATAAGGCGAATTATTTATTTATTTATTTATTTATTTATTTATTTATTTATTTAATACACTTGTATACCGCTAATATCTCAGCCTAAGTCGGCGACTCATTGCGGTTTACAACAATTAAAAACAATATACAATTTAAAACAACAACACATAGACAATACAAATTATTGGCCACCAATAATAATACCATGTATCTCGTCACTAAAATCACAGTCCAGAATTCGTCATCCATAATTAACCAGTCCTTAGTCCATAAAATTCGGTGATAACAAACTAACCGAATGCTTGTTTACACAACCATGTTTTTAATCTCTTCCGAAACACCATCAGCGAAGAGGCTGATCGTATCTCTATAGGGAGGGTGTTCCAAAGCCGAGGGGCCACCACAGAAAAGGCCCTGTCTCTCGTTCCCACCAGCCGCACTTGGGAAGCCGGTGGGATAGAGAGCAGGGACTCTCCAGAAGATCTAAGGGTCCTGGTGGGCTGATAGGCTGAGATACGTTCGGATAGATAAGTTGGGCCAGAACCGTTTAGGGCTTTAAAGGCCAAAACCAGCACTTTGAATTGAGCCCGGTAGCATATCGGCAGCCAGTGGAGCTGGTGCAGCAGAGGAGTTGTGTGCTCCCAGCGCCCCGCTCCTGTTAGTACCATGGCTGCCGCCCGTTGGACTAGTTGGAGCTTCCGGGCTGTCTTCAAAGGCAACCCCACGTAGAGAGCGTTGCAGTAATCAAGGCGGGATGTAACCAGAGCGTGGACTACCGTGGCTAAGTCAGACTTCCCAAGGTACGGTCGCAGTTGGCGCACAAGTTTTAATTGTGCGAATGCTCCCCTGGTCACCGCCGAAACCTGGGGTTCCAGGCTCAGCGATGAGTCCAGGATCACACCCAAACTGCGAACCTGTGTCTTCAGGGGGAGTGCGACCCCATCCAACACAGGCTGTAATCCTATACCCTGTTCGGTCTTACACTAACCAGGAGTACCTCTGTCTTGTCTGGATTCAATTTCAATTTGTTCGCCCCCATCCAGACCGTCACAGCGGCCAAGCACCGGTTCAGGACCTCGACAGCCTCCTTAGTAGCAGGTGGAAAGGAGTGACAGAGCTGGACATCATCTGCGTACAGATGACATCTCACTCCGAAACTCCGGATGATCTCGCCCAGCGGCTTCATGTAGATGTTAAACAACATGGGGGACAGTATTGAACCCTGAGGAACCCCACAAGACAAAGGTTGTGGGGTTGAACAGGAGTCTCCCAGTAACACCTTCTGAGACCGACCCTCGAGGAATGAGTGGAGCCACTGCAGAACAGTACCTCCCAAACCCATCCCCGCGAGGCATGAATTAGAATTTTGGGCATGTTGGTCATCTGACTTTTTCTGGATGCCGCACTTGTTTGTTATAGAACAGCACTTGTAACACTTGGATATCTGCCATGTACTGTTTGTTTATAGTAATAAGCATGGAAAAGCTTACATCCTGACTGTACTCCCAAAGTTGAAGCATCTGGCAGGTGTGAAAAAACAAAGCTCTTTCATTGGAACCAGTCCAGTGTGTACTATTTAAGGCTCCCATCCTAAACTAACAAAGAAAAACAGGGCTTTTGACCATGTTAATACCATATTTACTTGAATGTAATGCACATCTTTTTGGCTTAATTGCTTAGCAAAAATGCAGGTACACATTACATCCGATGGAGCATTAGAATCGCGAGCCAAAACATGCCTGTTCCCCTCCATCAGGCTCAGGGTACTGGATTCTCCAGCCTCCGCCTGATGGAGGAGTTGCAGATTCCCAGCTGGTCTCATTCAGGCTCTGAAAGAGACCAGTTGGAAAGCCAGGCCCCTCACCTGAGCCAGACTAGACTTGGCTCGGCTGGGGGGGGGGGGGGGGGGGGGGAACCACTTCTCCTTGCCTCCCAGCTGAGAAGCAAAAAAGAAGGAACCCCACTCCCGAAGTCAATTTTCCATAGCCTGTAATTGAGTGGCTAAGGAAGACAGATCGCCCCATTCCCAAGTCTGTTTTCTTTAGCCTCCCATTCAGATCCGGGGAGCGAGGTGAGATCCTCTGCTAGACCCAGCTTCTGCCAACCTATTAGTTCAAAAACCTGCAAATGTGAGTAGATCAATTGGTACTGCCTTGGTGGGAAGGTAATGGCACTCCATGCCATAATCTTGTAGGTGTCTATGGACAATGCTGACTCTTCAGATGGAGATGAGCACCACCCCCAGAGTTGGACATGGCTAAACTTAATGTCAGGGGAAACCTTTACCTTTACCTTTAGGCTAAGTCAGCGCATCCAAAAGCAAGTCATTTGTTTATTTTAATACCTGCTTGTATGTTTTCCTGCAGGAGCAGCCACAGTTCAGCAAACAAGCAGTAAAACTCAAGTCTCTATTCCTGTGAGGAATTTACTTTATAACATCCTTTGAGAGGTATGTAATAATTCATGTGTGTGTTTCATTAAAGTGAGACAGGCACAATGCCTTCTTAATGTCAGTAGACTGCACTTCCTAGCATTCATCATATATGGCTAAGCTGGCTAGGACTGATGAGAGTTGCAATCCACATAATTCCTGCTCCTGGAGATAATAAGAAGGGTGGCAGTTCCACGGAACATCAAAACTACAGAATTATAGCAGTTTGACACTACTTTAACTGTCATGGCAATGCCTATGGAATCCTGGGATCTGTAGTTTATTGTTGCCACAGATCTCTCTGAATGAGAGGTCATTCATACAAAATTACAATTCTGCAGATTACATTGCATGGAACCATGGCAATTAATGTGGTGTCAAACTGCTATAATTCTGTAGTGTGAATAGAACATCAGAGCCTGGGAGTAGCCCTGAAGAGGCCCTTTCTCCTGTTTCTTCCAGATGTACCTGTGAGAGTGATCGGATAGAGAGAAGGGATTCCAGAATATCTCAAAGCATATGCAGACTCATATGCTTTCATATGTCTCATATAGAGAGATACAGTTCTTCAGACAATTATTATTCTTTTTACTCTCTTGTTTGTTTAAATATTTATTACCCCACCCCCTCCACCCCACAGTATAAAATATCAGGGTTCTGTAGAGGCAATTTAATATTTAAATCAATTTGTAGCAATTTGGTACTATTTAAAACAGTATACCATAGATTCAATCAGAACTAAACAATCGGTTTAAGCCAAGTTTATAGAATCATAAAATCAGAAGAGACTCCCAAGCACCATCCAGTCCAATCCCCTTTTGCCCTGCAGGAAAATACAAATGAAGCACCCCTGGCAGATGGCTGTCCAACCTCTGTTTAAAAACTTCCAGAGAAGGTGACTCTGAGGTGGTATGTTCCAGTGACTTCCCTAAACTGATCATAGGATTTGGCTTCCAGACCCTTTACCATTTTAATTACCCTTCTTTGGACACATTCCAGCTTGTCATTATCCTTCTTGAATTGTTGTGCCCAGAACCTTAGATTCTGAAATTTTATTTGGAGGCAGAGCTTTGCAAATCATGTTCAAATGTTCTTCTATGACACTTTAGTCCATATTTTGCAAAGCTTGCGGAACATGCAACACTTTTCTATCTTGTACAAAGACTGCTCTCTGTTGCTGTGTGCTGTAATTCTATTCTTCTTATTATGTGTTTTTAAAGACTACCTTCATATTGCTTTACATTAGTGGTATATTTACAGAATAGTTTTTTTTTTTTTAAAAAATCAGGTCTTTAGCTGTACTTCTCTACAGAGAATCATATAGTTTTTTTATGTAGAAAGTGTTTGCCTTTTTTTTAAAGTATTTTAATGCAAAACATTTACAGAAAAATCCTTTGGTACACTTTTAGATAGACAAACATAGGGGAATACTGCAAAAATATGTTTTTCCTGCATCAGGAAAAAGATTGCTGCAATTGTTAATCCTTGCAAATGCAGGCAAAATAGTCAACAATTTGCACCCCTGGTGTGTATGAGAGTGATATCTCCAGTAGAAGATTTGATTGTGTGCAACAAATTGAATTGTTATGAAGAAATGGGGACTTACCTGATTCTCTGTCTGCAATCTGAATATTGGTTGAGTATCTCTTACCTGAAATGTTGGGACCCAAAGTGTTTGAGGTTTCAGATTTTATTTATTTTAGAATACCTGCATTTGAATATATGTACGTAATGAGATCAAGGAAATGTGACCCAAGTAATCAAATTCACTTACACTTTATATGCACTTTTATAGCGTGAAGGTAGTTTTAGGACTGCTGTTGCACAGGCAATCACTGGCGAAAGGGAAGGCACATTCGGTGGCTAATGGCACCCCGTGCACCCTCCCTTCTCCTCTCATCACATGAAGGGGACAGGAAAGGATGTTTTTGGCACCCTTTCCTTCCTCCCATCAGATGGCAGAAAGGGCGGCAACGTGCATTGCCCCGCCCCTTTCTGCAATCACATGGCAAAAAGAGAAGGAAATTGCAGGTAGCTTCCTTGGAGCTACCCAAATTATACTTTTCTTTCTATAGTGGAGGAGAAAGTGCATAAACGTGGCAAAACAGGGGGAAAGTGCCCCATGTGTAGAGGCCCTTACACAATATTTTCAGTAATGTTGCACGTGAAACAAAGTAGTCTCAGCAACCAAAAGTCTCAGCAACCAAATGCAGATGATTTTGAATTGTTTTTTATTTTAGACTTCCTAACAAGGAATGCTCACCCTCCAGGTGAGCTTATTGACTGTAAGAACCATTTCTGTTATGACACAAATACTAAAGCAGGGATGGGCAAAATGTTGCCCTCCAGATCTTGTGAATAAAAACTTCCATATATCCTACCTAGCATAGCCAGTGATGGTTAATACTGGAAGATGCAGTTCAGAAGAATCTAGAGGACCACACTATTGCCACCACTGTTATAGAGGATCATGAGATTAGAGACCTAAAGCTGTTCTGTCTTAGCCTTGGATACAGGATGTTATGTGCATTTCCAGAACCTAGCCTTGTACTTTGCTGATGCAAATATATTTTTCTGTTTGTATATTGATGATGAATCAGAGAGGAAAATATGTAAGCAAAGAGATATATAACTAAAGGATGACTTTCAGAGGCCTAAAGCCACTAAATAACCCCTGGCAACTTACACCAAAGGTAGGATATTTATTCTGCTTCATTGGTCAGCATCCAACTGGGGTCATTGCAGGAGTTATGTGTAACTCTTGGATTTCTATTTATGTAGAAGTTGACAAATGTTTGCTTTGGTTTTAATCCACAGGCTTTGCACCCCTAGATTTCACTTTGAGGTTTCATGTTGAGTGAAAAATAAAGAGATCTGTCTGGTTTGGGGTTAAAACCTCAAGTAACCACAGTCTTCTCTCTAGAGTTTAGAGGGAAAGGAGACGATTCACTGCAAAGGGCTAGATATGCTGAGCTTTCTGAACTTTTCAAGCGAACAGTGGTTGAGTAGCAATACTTGGTGTGGTCTATGACACATGGTGTAGTTGGGATTTATTTTTCCAGGGACAAGTATCTCAAAGTTCATAGTTTGTTTTTTAAAAAATATTTTCCCCACAGGTCCTGTAATTCTACTGAGAAAGTTATTTTTCTCACATATACTCTGAATAGTTGAGCCATACTTGGATAATGCTGCCTGTGCCCTTTTCCGTTCAACTATTTCCCACCAACTGTACTTACTGGTAGTCCTGTCTGTCCCTAGGCCTTGTGTGCTTCTTTTAAAACTTCTGAGTACCTGTAATAAGCATTCCATAACACCCCTCCGGCAGGGCCAACAGCAGCATTTACCTTTCTCTCTTTTGTAGATTATATCTGATTTACGAAGGTTTTTTTCCATGTCGGGAGTGACTTGAGAAACTGCAAGTTGCTTCTGGTGTGAGAGAATTGGCTGTCTGCAAGGATGTTGCCCAGGGGAAGCCGGATATTTTGATGTTTTACCATCCTTGTGGGAGGCTTCTATCATGTCCCTACACGGGGAGCCGGAGCTGACAGAGGGAGCTCATCCGTGCTCTTCCCTGGATTCGAACCTGCGACCTGTCAGTTTTCAGTCCTGCTGGCACAACGATTTAACCCGTTGTGTCACTGGGTTAAAAGGATGCCACTTTTAGGAAGTAAAAGTGTATCACTGAATATCTACAGTTGACACTCCACATTTGCAGCTTTCATTTAATTTGGATTTGATTAATATATTCTCACTAGGAATCTCTAGTTTCTCCAATGCGAATTTAGAGTCAACTTCTACCAAACTTGGAGGACCTAAAGATTCCTTGGGAGAACACTTTTCTATACATAGAGAATGAGGCAGTCTTGGGCGGAAGTTGACCGTAAAGTTGTGCTGGAGGCTCTAAAGCAGGGGTGCCCAACATTTTGGCTTTCTTGGGCCACGTTGGAAGAAGAAGAATTGTCTTGGTATGCACATAAACTAATATTAATGATAACTGGTGAGGAAAAAAAGGAATGTGCATAATTTTCATGATTTCTATCACCAGAAACAAATAGAAAAAAAGTAATCACATTATAATCCTAATTATGTGTCACCCTGTTTGAAGGGTCTTTTAAAATAGTTGAGTAGGTGTTCTGGTCAAACTGTTTGCAATTATAATGTGAATTATAGATAATGCTCTTAGATTTGTAGACGTAACAGGCTCTGATTCATACAATTCATTTGTACTTGAGAACTGTGTAATACATTTTTTAAAAATAATAGTTTAAATCAGTTTTTGATTTTGTGTTGGGCCACATTCATAGGTATTTTGGGCCACATGTGGCCCATAGACCATGGGTTGGACAAGCCTGACCAAGAGATTCCTAAAGAGGTGGTCTCCTAGGTAAAATAAATAGACTTTTTATTAGTGTTTTTCACTTTCACAGGGATCCTGCATTCTGTATTTGTTCTGTGCTTCACTTTTTATCTGTTTCATGTACATACAGCCATGATTAATGTCCTAACAGGTTTTCCAAAGCTTCCTTCACTCTGCATAGTAAAGAGAGTTGGCATGGTATAGGGGTTTGGGTGTTAGACTAGGGCTGAGAAAGATTAAGATTTTACTCCCTATGTAGCTGGAAAAACCCATTGGTGATCTTGGGCAAGTCACACTCTCCCAGTCTTAGCAGAAGAAATGGCAAGCTGTCTCTAAATAAATTTTGCCAAGACAATTTTTCCTAGATCACTGTATGATGAAGATGATTTGAAGGCACACAGAAACAATTTATAGCTATCACAATTTTGGATTGCAGCCTAAGTACAGTTATTTGGAACTTAATGGAGTTTACTGAGCAGATATACAAAAGTGTCCTTAATAATTCGCCTTTTAATGAGTTCATCAAAAACAATTAAATAAAATTTTAATTAATAAAACTCAGTATAGTGTCTATGAAAGGTAGGTCCTTTTTATGAAAGTAGAATTTGTAACATAATTTACAATTTCAAAAATGATGCTTATTTCTTAGAAAAGATGTGGTGATAATGCCTAAAAGTGTGAAGCATGAGCTTGAAAGTTATCAGACTGATCCTCACTGCAGCCATAAAATATTAGATATTCTAATGCCAGAACCACATCATTTTCACAAATACTAGCAAGGTTGTCCTTAATTTGTAGCCTAACAGCTGAAATATGATCTAAATCTAATTTTTTGTCCTAAATAGAACCTGCTCACTTACTTTTTACTTATTTAGGTGATCCCTCGTAGCCCAATGATGATGGTACTCCAAGTCTGGTGTCTTGTCGGTGGATTCGTAGATGTCTGTGGAACCCTATGATTTGCATGTTCTCCTGCAGTGAGAACATCGGTTTCCAAGTGGAAGACAGTCTTGGTCAGGGTTGGCTTGATATGACCTCCTCTTGGCAGGTTTCTCCCTTTCACCTTCCATTTGTGCCTCTTCAAATTCTGCAGCACTGCTGGTCACAGCTAATCTCCAGTTAGAGCACTCAAGGGCCAGGGTGTCCCAGTTCTCAGTGTCTATGCCACAGTTTTTAAGGTTGGCTTTAAGCCTGTCTTTGAATATCTTTTCCTGTCCATCAACGTTACGTTTCCCTTCTTGAGTTAGGAGTATAGTAACTGCTTTGGGAGATGGTGATTGGGCATTCGGACAACGGGCCCAGTCCAGCAGAGTTGATGGTGTAGGAGCATTGCTTCAATCCTGGTGGTCTTTGCTGCTTCCAGCATGCTGACATTTGTCCACCTGTCTTCCAAAGAGATTTGCAGGATTTTTTGGAGGCAGCGCTGATGGAATCATTCTAGAAGTTGAGTGTGACGTCTGTAGACAGTCCACGTTTCACAGGCGTATAATAGGGTTGGGAGAAACAGAACACTGAATACAAAAAAACAAAACAAAAACAAAAACCCACAGAGATTGCATTGTTTTCATTTTGTTTTGCCTCCATGTAAGGTTATTTGTCCTCTATAAGAAAAGTGGTTCTGTATCTTGTTTATGCTTGTGCCCCTCCTAGAAGTGGACCAATTAGCATCCCTTTTCACTCAAGAACCTTTAAAAACAAGGATTTGGCTCACTGGGTGCTTTCTTTTCACTTTTCCTGACTGCTTTTATCTGAATAGTTTTCTTTCTTACTCCTCCTTTCTCTCATTGCAAATGATATACATGTGTGCATCACTTCCACTGCAATCTGTATTTGAATGCTATCATGAAGAAAATCCATTGGTTGCACCAGAGTGCTGTAGGAAGAAAATTGCTCTATCATCCCAGCATAGCTTCCAGATACATTGCAAGGAAAAAACAGGTGGTGCCATTGGAGAGTTGGTGCCCTGGGTTTGGAAACAAAAGGAGTAGAAGATGCGGCACCACCTCTGTTGTCACTTTGCCTTGACATGGGTGCAAAACAAGCCTCAGAATGATCACCTGCTCGTCTGATGCCAGAGTTGATGCCAACAGGCTTTGTGAGGTTGTTTGTTTGTTTGTTGTTTAGGAGCGAACTATTTCATTGGTACCGAACTCCTGTAAGCAAGGTGGCGCACAGAGAAGGAAGTTAACCTATTACAGTCCTGAGAGGAAGGCACAGGGAAATGTTTCAAGGTTTTAGCTGGCAGTGTAAGGAATGTACGGTGCTAATGCAGGGAACCGAGTCTCATGCTGTGTCTGCAGGAACATAACTGGTAAGATATTTTCTTCTCATTTTATGTTGAAAATTTGCAACTCACTCCCTCCCTTTCTTAATTCCCCTTTCCTCCCCCTTTTCACACACACACTGTCAGATAATATATTTGCTGTTTATGATCACATGTAAGGAAAAGCTACTTTGTGCACAGTATGATAGAAAGATCCTGCCCTGATTATTTGTGCCGTGTGCAGTATCTGGTAAACCTAGCATTGGGAGAAATGATGAATGCACCTTCAGTTTCATGATTGCAACAGGACAAGCCTTGCCCATATATGGAACCCAGTATATGATGGCAACATGGGAAAAGAACAGCCTAGGCGAATGTCTTATTTGTCAGAAATAAATTATTCAGAATGCAGTTTCAGGCAGAGATTGCAGGGAGTGATAATGGCATTGGGGATTCCCCACCCCCACCGCCTGCTCAGGCTACAGTGACATGGAGCATGCTTTTCAGGAATTCACTTAAGTGGAATCAGCTTTGAATAATGCTGCCAAGAAGTAATATTGCTGCCATCCAGCTAGTGTCTGTGGAACAGCATCCTCGGAATCTCTCCATGTTAGCAATAGCATACACGCAGATAGGCACAGATATGACATTGTGTGCAGAATTGAACGTACATATCATGCTCTTTTAAAAAGGAGTTTCTCCATAGCTATCAGAGAGGAGCATTTGTTCATTACAGATTATTATTTGTGGGTGCTGCCATTTGTTCTGTGCAATAGTTGATCGTGTCTTCATCCGACTGCCAGAGCATCATGTGGTTTCTCGTGTGATGTTCAGATTGTTGCAGTTTAAGAAAGAGAGCTTTTGTGACGCTGCACTCCTGGACAGTATCCCTCAGCAGCACAGAAATCCAAATGCAAAATGACAGAAATAAAGTTGTGTTACTAGTGGCTTGCTGTATGACGATTTCATTTTTGGGTGGGGTGGGGTGAAGGGCACTCCTGCTCCCTACTTCCTGCAGGATTTGAGCCACGCTGTTTGGAAGGAGCGATTTCGTCTTCTCTCTGAGCGATGACGCTGCACCACTTTCGGCATATCCTGCTTCCTCCATTTACCTGGGTGGCTGCTGCTGTTGCTGCTGATGGGGTTGCTCCTGCCTGCCTGGATTTCCACCTGGCTCGGACTATGGGAGAATCACTTCTCATCCTGCGAATTAAAAAAGCATGATGAAATCAGGGCAGGGAAATGCTGCTGGAAAAGAAGAAATGTGTGACGCAAGGTTTATTTTCTACCCCTCCTAAAAAGGTGACAAAATGTGAGTTAAAGGTTTGGGGAAGTAAAAGCTTAAAGAGATATGATTCCAGTGTACAACGAGGGCACCAACAGCACGTATGCATGGAAAGGGCATCAACAGGAAGAATCCAACCACTGCTGCTCGAAAGGATTATTATGGGGAAAGCCATGGTGCTGCAGTATTTCACCTCAGAGGAGAGCTGTGCTGGAGACGGATAAAGAAAACGTTTGATATGTGTGCCTGTCAGAGCATAGCCATGGGAGGAAAAGATTGGAACGGAGCAAGCCAGCAAAGGACAAGGGAGAAGAAAGGCTGCATGCTGTTTGATTGTCCGATTCGGTGTCTGTTCATACCAGCAATGATGATGGCATAATTTATGAAACTGTGCTTGGGTGGAGGGACTCTGAATTGTAATCTGAACATCCCCTAATGGGGCTGCAGCAGAAATGAAAGGTGCATGTGGCTGGAAAGACACAAACACCTTGTGGGAGGAAAAAGAAGTGTACCGTATATATGTATGTCTGTGTTTGTACATATGTGCCTTGAGATAGAAAGCTTTGTGACTCAGGGATGCGCAGGGAATCTTTCAGGGTGTTGCATCGGGTTTGGTTATGGTGCATATTTTCAGCAACTGGATTATATATGTATTCTCTCAGAAGAGGCAGTTATCTTTTCTGAAACCAGCATATTTGCAGGGAAGGTCCTAGGAAGTCTTTCTCCCTCTCCCTTTTTCTTTTAATGCCTTGAAGCATTGGAACTTCTATAGGATCCAGAGAGGAGCCCCTCCTGCCCTTCATCCTTAAAATCTTTCTAAACACAGCTGTACTTAGTCTAGCAGGGGAAAAAATTCTATATTGTAAATAGAAGTGTGGTCAGTCTAATCAAAATAAATTATCCCAGATGACTTTTGTAGCTCAGCTGGCAACTCTGCATTTTCAGATGGATGAGCATTCAACCAAGATGAAATCAGTAATGCATTTACGTTTCTAATGCATTTCAAAGTCAGCCTTCTTAATTTAAAAAAGAGATCAGAGCCCCACTGAAAAAATTCACAGTACTTGATTTTGCTCCTTAAATCCTCAGTAGTGTCTTTCTTTTCCTGGTGCTATATAGACAGCGGCAGAGGAGGAAGAGCTCTCTTTTTCTTTCATGTGTCTCTGTCTCTTTTTAAAAAGAACAGCTGAACTTTTTAGAATAAAGAAGACATCCATGTACTTTGAATGGTGAAGGCTGCTGAATCGCCCAGGGTGGTCACATCTGTGTAATGGGCCAAATTAAGTGAAAAGAAACACATTCTGCAGACAAATGGAGGAAGCTTGGCAGAATTTTCAGCAGCTGCTTGTGTGTGTGTGTGTGTGTGTGTGTGTGTATGTATGGGGGTGGGGTGCGCACACACGTGTTTCTTTAAATCCAAAGAGCATACATTCTTCTAAATGTGCATCTAAGGGGAATTTTTCAGTGGTCACAGTGTGCTTTCTCAAAACAATACAATACCCAAAAAGATGGCTGTTTGTTAGATTATATAATGGCCAGCTGTTGGAGAATGGCATTTTCGGTTTGCTTTATGGGACAGGGAAAGAATGGAATTAGAAAAATCAATGTTGTTCTGCAAGGGAGCTATACCTCATCCTCAGATACTGTGGTTCCAGCTCAGCCTCGGATATTTTAAAACAAGAGCAGTGGGAGTGGAAAGGGAAAGAGAGAGAGAGGCTTGTAACTCATACAAAGCTGCATAGACCAGCAAAATGTCAGCAGCTTGTAATTAGCAGTCCGTGGTTACGTCAGCGACCATATCTCTCCAAGAATAACTGTGATGCGTGCCACAAAGTGAGGAAGATAGTCATAACCTAGTTATCAAGCCTGGTTCAAACAAGGGCAAATAGATTAATGAATCTGCTGCGTTCATGAATCAAAAGGGGACGGATGACACATTATGGGGTTTGCTGAGTTCTGCATAGTTGAGGGCTGAATTAACAAGTTCAAAGCCAGGGAGCAGGAAGGGGGGTGGGTGGTGGTGGAGTTGCAGGGAGGAGGCTTTTGCAAAGCAGAAAGTAAAGAAGAAAAAAGGGGGGCCAGTTGCTCCCAGCCAGTTTATATGACTTTGTATGGACTCTAACTATGGGCTCCATGTCTAGGTGGCTGATATGGATACATCACAAATATATAAAAAATGAGACTAGAGCAAGAGTGGATATGTTTTGTATAATAGCAAAATATAAAGACATTCCTTATATCTTACTGCTTTATAGCTTTGAGTTGTTTTGCAATATAGTTTACAGTTCTTTTTTTTACTTCACTGTGGGGATGGTTTGGTGTTAGATTTGTAGAATTTTGTACGGTGTTTCTAAATCCAAAGTAAATCTTGCAAAGCTTTTCTGAGAGTATAAGAACTGTGTCTTACAGAGAGATACTCTGTTTTAGATCTCCATTAGCAGTCTCTTGCTGCATTCAAGCTGTAAGGAGGAGGAGGATGTGGGAGGCGCTTAATCTGCGATTGGCCTTTTCCAGTCTCCTTTGATGCCGTGCTTTCCTGGCTTTTATCTGTGAGCCTTTGCAACGTGCGGTTTATGTTTCTCCCCTTGTGCTCTGGCTGCCCAAACTGCTCAGAGCCTCTTCTGTTTTCCCAGATTCCCTGCAGAAGTCAGCTTCAGTTCAGCTCTTGTTTGTTTAGCTCTCCTTAATAATGCGCCTAAAATAGACTCAATTGTGCAAACGTGTATATTTTGGTCTGGGAAAATGTGCACTGGTTTGGGAGAGAGGGCTGAGGGCAGCTCAAAACTAGCAGTTCTTTTGTGTTACATGCACTGCCCTTTTAAAAAAACAGCATTTAATTGATCCAAGGTCACCAAAGCTGCAAATCTCCCAGTCTTACATTTGGGAACTTGGGCGATGTGCATAACATCACTGGGAGCCAGGATGATGTTGTTCTGGGCACCCCTCAGCTTGGAAGGATTTCATTTGGTTTGTGTAAGCAAGTTCAAAAATGTTGGGCCTGTCTCCAGAGTGAACTGTTGGGGGACGTGAAACATTGGAGGACATGAGCGGCTGTCTGATTCATGCTGCCCCTGGAAGGGTCCTTCATTCAGCAGCCCTGCCTTCTTCTGATAAGGCAAACTGCTTTGATGCTGCTCTCCCAGGGTAGTGTGTCATTGTGTCGCTGGAGCAATGGAGGTTATTATGGGGCAGGGCTGACAGACGGGACAGTGAGGTTACTAGACCGTGGCATTTTTAGAAATACAGGCCTGACCTACTTCGAGCTATTCTTGCTGGCTGGCTGGCAGCTGCATGGTGCATGGAGCCTCCTGATAGGTTGCCGCTGTTGCTAGGGGGAATTAACATGCATTTTTCCACATGCAGTCTCTCGGATTGAATGATAAAAGCTGACTGGAATTAAAGAGATTCGGTTCAGCGTTATGTAGATTTGTCTGCTTTATTTTTTCTTTCTGCAAACATACGAAAAAGGGAGGAAAGGACACTTTCTTCTTTGACCTATTTCTTTTCCTATCCAGGGGGAAGGCAGATCTTGGACTGTTTTATTTTGTGAAATTATGATGCATAGAAAATATCATAGGATGTTTGGTACTTTCTTCAGTTTTGAGAAGGGCATTTTCCCCTCATCTTGTTTGCTTGAAAAGGAAGCAATCAAACACCTCATTTGTATCTATACAACTAGTAGGTGTGTGTTTTTTTTAAAAAAAAAAACAACACCAAATGGATGGGATGCTGGGGATTGAATGAAGCTATGCTTACCAGCTTTTATTACATGATATAAATATAAATTGGGAGGGGTGTTAGGGTCTGTTGCTTCATTCATACATGGAATTGAGCTCTCTGACCCCAAGGCACAACCATGCATATGTGGATTGCTGTAGTGTTGCATATAGATCTGAAGTGATTGAGAAATTGCTTACTACAAGCATATCTGTAGAGAAGACGTTGTTTCTATAGCTTCTCTAGCAAAGATCTTCCTTGCCCAAGAATTCAAGGAACTATATAAATGCTAACTAAATCAGTGCATCTTTCTGTGTATATGTCTGTGTGTCTCCCTACTCTCATCCAGACCTCTTAACTTTTTAATGACTGTCCTAAATTCCTATGAAATGCCACTTAGTCAAGATTGTTTGCATGTAACCATGAATCTTATTTTTGTTTCTGCTCAGTGCTTCTTAAGAAAGAATATTAAACTCTTATTTTGCCATTGGTTTTAAATATAAAATATAATCCTTTCCTTATTTTCATAATGACAGCAGTGAGATCATTTAGAAAAGAATTGAGGCTCTCTAAAAAGAAAGAATAGGTGCATGGAGAAACATATCAAAATTGAATTTTTTTTCACAAAATGTATAATTTGATGTGTTGTTTATTCATTCAGTCACCCCTGACCCCCTGTGACCCCATGGACCAGCCCATGATAGAGCTCCCTGTCGGCTGTCACCACCCCCAGCTCCTTCAGAGTCAAGCTAGTCACTTCAAAGATCCCATCTATCAATCTTGCCCTTGGTCAGCCCCTCTTCCCTTTTCCTTCAATTTTCTCCAGCATCATTGTCTTCTCTGAGCTTTCCTGTCTTCTCATGATGTGGCCAAATTACTTCATCTTGACCTCTAATATCCTTCCCTCCAATGAGCATAGTTGCATCATTTGATGTAATGTAATGAAAATGTCTATGGATGTAAAAAAACTTTCTCCACACATGACATAGGCCAAATTATGAAGACTCTTCTCTTTGATTGCTCCTTATTTCATATACCATTTTATGCCACTACTCTAATAAATGTACAATACATTACACTACAATAATAAATGTTTAACATATCACAACATCATACACAGATTAATTGTAAATTGGGAAAATGAAAATGTAGTCTCATAGAGACACACAGAGACATATGCCGTATGAATTTATTATGCTGACTAGGTCTATATTTTATAAAATCAGCTTTAGATAACAATGAGGATCTCGGATTATGTGACAGGTTATGTGATTTATGGAAGACCATAAACAAACAAAAAACCTACAGTT